TTACCTTAGTATTCTGTGTTTTAAAACCAGTTTTGGAATTGAGGAAAGACTGTCAACAGCCATCTGTCCAAATAATAAAAGTAATCTACCTAGATATGTATGCAACCATCGCCAACAATTATCTTAGCTCGGTGTGTCCCGTTGATTCGAAGTTCGGCCGAGTTGTTTACAGGAGTCAAAGAATCATCGTACCGAAAGAGGCACCTACAAAAGCCTCTGAAAGAAACAACGGCAAGCGCTGTGGCGGCATCTGCTTTCCGCCTAGCTGACGACAAAGAGAGTATGATATTTTGCCGCATATGGTAGGTGCGGTGTTTCGGAGGGTGCCTGCTGGGGGGACGAAATGGCCACGGCTGCCTTGTAATAGCTAACACTGTGTCGGTTATAGTATCTAGTTTTTGTGATGGGGATCAAAAATACCCTTTTGTGACGCTTAAAAAAAATTGTAACTAATAAATAAGGAAATGGAAAACATGTCCGAGGGTCAGAATAAGATATAAAAACTTGTCAGATTCGAACAATTTGCAGTCCCAAAATTATCAGTTTTTTTTATTGCATAAATTTGAAACTGCCCGATTTGCACTGGCAGGTATTTTTTAGGATTTTATCTGATTTATCTGAGAACACAGAACTCTAGCCATAGCCAAATCTTGTCAAGAGGTATAGCTTTAGACTGCCGGGCACTCTCCCCGGTCAGCTCGAGCATGATAGTGCAAGGCTCCCGTTCAGGAGAAATGCCGGAAACATTTAGAACACTCGCCCAACACCCCCATAACACTCCCCTAAGCTGAGTCCAGCTCCCCTCCCCCTCCCCCTTCCCCTCTCCCAAGAATTTCCTGCGCAAAGTACACACAAGGCTATACACCCCTCTTCCTCCCTTACCCACCCACCCTCCCTCTCCCTCCCCTCCCCCTCCTTCCCTCCCTCCCTCCCTCTCTTCCCCTCCCCCCCACCACCCGAGTTAAAATCTTGGATAAACCCCTGCCCTGGTGGGGGCTGAACCAGCCCTTGGCATCGTTATCGCGGTTCTAGGGACGGTAAGGTAGATCTCGACTAGGGATGCCGCGAACCACCCTAGGCTCGAATTCGAAAGGTTTCAATAGTTTCGAAACGAACTAATGTTCCAATTCGAAAGGTTTCAATATTTTCGACTATACGGAGGTTCGAATTCGAAAAATTCGCAACTTTCAAAAATCGTGGAGTTTCGAATTCGAAACGTTCGAAGCTTTCACGGTTTCTAAAAGTTTGGGTTGATTATTTCGAATATTTTTTTTTACTTGAGGTTCGAGAAATTCGAAGATTTCGAACTTTCCTAAATTGAAATTCGAGAGATTCGATTTTTCGATTTTCGGGGATCTGAAATTCGAAAAATTCGGACGTTTCGATTTCTAATAGACATAAATTTCGATCAATTCGAAGATTTCGAATTTCTTTCTACCTAAAAGTTCGAAAAGGTAGAAGGTTTCGATTGTCTTTTAGGGCTAAATTCGAAAAAAAAAGCTTTGAAGATTTCGAATTTCTTTTCAGTCCAAGTGCGCAAAGTTCGAAGTCCGGTTTTCATGTTCCGCCGCAGTTTCAGTTTCAAATAACGTTTTCACGCCTCGCTGGTTTTCACGCAATCCAGTTTAGAAAAGTTCGGGTGTAATATTTAGACACCGCGAAGTCGGGTCAGGGAATTAAATGAGACGACGAGTGTCTCGGATGTGCTTGAATATTTCCCAGTGCAGATTGACGTGTGGCCATAGAAAAGTAATTGTGACCGCCAGCCCGGGGGAGTCATTAACGTTCATCACGATGTAGTGATCACACGAACGCACTGTTTAACGATACTCATCCAGTTCGAAGCGGCCAGGGGCCGGCAGGTGGTTGCGGCTCAGAAAAACCTTGAAGCGATCTGGCAAACTGCCTCCCTACCCCCTGGCAGGCTGGTAATAATCCGATTTAACGCCGCCCGAGTGACGCTGGTATATAGTAAGTTTGTTTTGTACATGATGCAAAATCCTGAGACTGGGAATGAAATTTGAAAGAAAATGCGGAAGAAGGCAGAAAAAAGGGGACAGGACAACGTCTCCCACTCAAATCAGCTGAAAATTCAGCTCAGGACAACGTCTCAAACTCAACTCAGCTGAATTTGAGACGTTGTCCTGTCCTTTTTTTTTTCTTCTGACGCTATTTCTTGCGAAGTCCATTCCCAGTCTCATGATTTTGCATCATGATCAATATACACCAGCTCTCCTGCACCTTGACAATTTTTTAGTTTGTAATTGCTTTGGAGGTTTATTTTCCCGGACGAAAGAAACGCTGAGAAGTAGCTGACACAACTTGAGGTCGAGGAGCGTTTTATTATACCAGTGGCGTCGAAAGGGGACAAACGGGGGGGGGGGGGGGGGGGGGGGGGGGCTTCAGTCTCTCCCCCCCCCCCCCCCCCCCAGATATTTCGGACTATTAAACAAAAACAATACAGGGAAAAAGGGTATGGTCGTGCTTATTTTAATCTGAAATTATTTATGCATATGCAGCTACTGTTGCTCTTCACTGCATAAAAGATCCCGTAGATGGTCATTGTTAGAAACTCGTTGTCAGAACACACGACTCGTCACATGCTGGGTGGTTCGGAAGTTCGAAGCTATGTCTTTTCGACCTAAATAACTGTCTCATTTGTAAAAAAAATATTAAATAAATAAACAAAACAATAAATTCAAAAATAAAAATTTGAAGAAAGAACAAAACTATCAGGAACCCACCGGAAGTGTTGTATTCTTGCATAATCAGAGGCCCAGAACTATGAAACAAGTTTCTCCTACCAAAATGTGTACAGGCTGATCATATCTGAAAGGGGCGCTGCAAGGACATTTTATTGTTTTTTAGTTTGCACCGAACCTGAGCGCACTGAACTTAGTAACTTAGTGAAACTTTTCTTTTCTCGAAGTCCGCTTTATTTTAAAAGTTAAAGGCAAATTAGAATTACGAAACAAGCGAAAATCAAACTCCCTTATGACGTCCTTGGTTGCTTGAGTGACCATGAACTAGAGGAGGGGCAGTGAGCTCATCGAGCGCTCACGGCTGACGCACTCCGTGTCGACGGCGCGAGAGGGCGCCACTAAAGCATATTCTCGATGGGCTGTATGCAGCGGGCAGCCAAATCGGCTTTCATTGCATTTGCTGCGCGATTAAACACTAAGTCGGCATGATACTTCATTGGCCACAAACGAAAACAAACACGGGGTAAATAAAAAATAGTCAGAGTGCAGGCGAGCTGGTGTAAGTTGAACATGATTGTAAACCTGAGACTGGGGCAGAAAAGAGAACACAACAGAAGGTAGTAACGTTGCGTCCTCTTTTACTACCTTCTGTTGTGTTCTCTTTTCTGCCCCAGTCTCAGGTTTACAATCATGCTCACGGGGTAAAGATCAGTTCAGAATGGGAGCCACTTGGCGCTGCCATACCGCGAAATGGCCAAACCGCAAGACAAAGCCTCTCGCCAAAAGCCTTCGGAACGTTCGGAGCCGGACTGATCCTCTTGTCCATACGACCGCAGCTCCGCCGCGTACATCCGGGACCTTTCCCTGTCGGCGGCTGATCCCACTACTCCTTTCTAGTATGCGCCGCCTTTTCCACCGCTTGGTGGCGGGCATGTCGACGGTTCATTTCTTGTTTCTGTACTTTATAAACTGCATTGGTTTTTTTCTGATCTAAAATACTGAACAAAAACTACTTTTATAAATAATTGAAACGTTTCGCGCCACCTATATTTTGTATTTCGACCAAAAAGAAGCTTTCAGCGGCTCTGACGAGTAGTAAGCCCAGGACCAAAGACGTCACATTTAGCGCGGTTTCGGTACCGCGGCTCGCCCTCGTCGGTGGAGGAGGTTCCGCGTCGTCCGGTTAAAATATGACGCACGGATATTTAGTTACTCTCTCCGTGCCCGCTGGCTTGCCCGAACCCCAAGAGACGAGGAGACTGCAAAAAAGGTAGACGCTTAATTATGATTGCAGGGCCCCTTTAAGACGACACATCTCCACCATAAATAGCTTCGGCTAAAGCGCGCTTCAAATATGGCACAAACGACAATGGTCAAAAAACCGTCGTCCTTCTTCGCTCCTTCGGGAATCTATTTCTTTAAAACCAAGCATGACAGATGATTGAAATAAACGGCATTGTCTTTCGCGAGGAATGAAGCACCGGCTGTAAAAATGCAAAAAAAAAATTGCGAATGTAACTTATTGTTTGAATCCAAATGAAACCGCCCACCGATCTTTCGAAGTTCGACGAACTTCGAACTTTTACCCTAAAAGTTCTAAGATCGCCGAATGTTTGATTTTTCAGGAATCGAAAGTTCAACAATTTTCAAATTCTTTAGATCAATAAGTTCGAAAGTTCGAAAATTATCTAAGCGCGGGAAGTTTGAAAGTTCGAAAAGCTTCGAACTTTTTAGTGCAAGAAGGTTGAAAGTTCGAAAATTATCGAACTGTTTAGTGTATCAAGTCGAAAGTTCCACAATCGTCTAATTTTGAAGCGTAATAAGTTCGAAATTTCGAAAAGCGTCGAACTTCTTAGTTTAGCAAGTTCGAAAATTCGAAATCTATCGAACTTTTGGACCACTTGATGCGATCATCTAACCTTGGGTTCGAAAAAATTTCGCGGCATCCCTAATCTCGACTGTCTCGACCTCAAATCCATTTTTAAAAATCTATGTGAGTTTTAAAAGAACGTACCAGAAGCTATAACTATGATTATCTTAAAGAATTGTATTAATTTGATAACCCATTTTTAACGTTCTTTTGATTTTATTAAACACAAACTCTTTTACAACTGGTTTTCCACAAAGATTACTATTTTTTAAATATCGGCTACTTTTTTTGTCAGTCAATCTTATCCGGACATGCGCACAATAAATCAGCCTGACCCTTCTTTCAAGGAATACAGCCAGAGTGGTTGATTGCCGCCGATAAGCGATCGCAATATCTTTGCGGAATTTCCGTGTAAGAAAGAAGACGATCTGTGGTGCAATACTTTGTCCAATGCCGAATCACGCCATTTTTTATCGTTCCTTTCTCAAGAGGTGCAGCACGTCGATGACGAGCGGGTGATTGACACGTGAGATTCAGAGTATAGAAAACGCGTATATCGCATCAAGGTGTAGAACAGACATTACTAGAGTTCCAGGCATGGCCTCGCCCGTTTCCTGCCTTTTCGCTGTAGCACTTCTGCTCGTGCTGGTGAGTGTGCCTTTCTAGCTACTTGGGTCTCAGCAGCCACCTATGTGGCACCTCATTCCCGCGTTTTTATTCAGAACTCATGTAAGGTTTTATGCTGGAACCCTCCGCAATCTTGATCTCGCGTAAAACCTGTTGCGTCGTTCATGTGACCTTGCGTGCCTGTTAGCATCACTTCCCGATTTTGTTCCGAGCGGGCTGTCAAACCGAACCGTACCCAAGTCGAACAGAAAATCAAAAATATTATTTTTGAACAATCTGGAGCTAAACCGAAGCCTTAAATAAACATTTTGTATTCAACCTCAACCGGAACGAATTCCCTATTAGATGTGGCGGTTAGCGGCTCACGAGAAAACAGTTCGGTATAATGAAATTTGAGCCGCCTTGTTTTTCAGGGTAGCGGGAGGAGGGGGAGTGAGCAGCGCATTGTATTTAAATAAGCGGCAGTGACGTGTAGACAAGTAAAGACTACTTGAACAAATAAATAATTTTTGCGCTTATGTGGATCACAACGTGGCGTCGGCGATTTGGCCTGGAACGGTGGCGTACATCTATAGCTATCTATACCAAGAGGCGAATGAGCTATTCTTTGTTTTTTTTGTCGCTACTAAACAATGATCCCCGAAGAAAGAGAAGGGGAACATGGTAGACAATATAATAAAATTAACTGCATGTTTGGTCATTCTGCGAAACACGTTTAAGGGCGGTAGCGATGTAAGGTGGGTGGTTTTCTTACTTCGGGTAGTTCCTACTGGGCAAGATGACCCTTAATCTTTCAGTGCCTGGGGTGAGTTGTTTTTTTAGTTCAGGTGGTGCCTAGGGCAGGGTTTGAATGGAAACAGTTTACGTCACACCCTTCACTCTTCTTGACGCTGCGCGTATTTCCCTTCAGCACCCGATACTAAGTCCTTCCACTGAATTGTCTGGGTCACCGAGAGTGCTTCGTTGTCTTTTTCACTTCTCGTACCGCGTGGCATTTCGTCACTAGCTATTTCTGCTTCTTTCTTTCTTGCACTTTCCACCAACACCTAGGACGGAAACATCAATACATCAGACATTGGAATCCATGATGACCTTTGTCTCTTTTTGGCCCATTTAACGTGCATAAAACGCGCGCTTTCTTCTTAGTCTCGAGTATTTTGTAGCAAGGCATTTGAATAGATTCGTGACCGTGTAACTCAATAGTTCCAAGAAGCATTCGTACAGCGTGATTAGGCTTTTAATGCCACTTTTAAATATTCTATGCTTGACTCAAAGGCGGGCTAATCGAACCTGGTAAATTCTAGCCAGTGAAAGAAAAAAAAAAAGACCGTATAAATCATAATTATAATGTTATATTCCACAGTATATGAAAAAGTTTGCTCTGGAATTGTAATCGGGTTTGTTTGAATTTCTACATTACCCTAAATTGAACTTGTACTTGTTATGTTGAGGTAATTCAGGCATTATTTCTGAAAGCAGCAGCAGCAAAGAGATAGACGAGATATGTTACAATTGAATGACTTCAGTTAAAGTAGTTCTGAGCAGACCGAAAGCTAATGTAATGAGGTGACTTGACTTCTTGTCGCATTTGATGTACATTTTATATTTATTCAACCAACACACTAATTTTGATAACAAAACATACCGATGTATGCTACCAAAACATTTTCTTAGAGGCAGTAAAATCTTATACACCCTATTACAGAAACATGAGCAGCTCTGGCGCCCGTTGTAGTATTGTGAGTGGAATGAGCGATGATCCATCTAGGTTCACATACAGTGAAACCCGTTTAGAACGAACCCACATATAGTGAATTATTGTCGATATCAAACTCACGGAAAATTTAAATATAAATGCATGTAAAAACTATGATTTATAACGAACAACATATTCGCTATATCTAACTTTTCCCCCCAGGAAGGCTTCCAAAAACGCGCTGACTATCGTCTTCTAGCCTGTCCCTTTTCCCAAAAAAGAAGTAGGAAAGAGAGAAAATTCCAAAAGATAAGCTAGAAAAAAAAGCTTTTTAGCACATTTTTACAAGGCGGCATTGAAGAGATGATGAATAAAAAGGAAGGCTCTCGCATTACAACGAACTCATCGTGGAAGTTTGTTGTAGATGTTTTTTGCTATATCGAACTATCTGCTGTATCGAACTGATCGTAGCGTTTCCTGCTGTTTGTTATAAGCGGGTTGACTGTAAATTAATCAAACTATGATACATCTCTTATTCTAAGACGTTTTCTTTTTGTTCAGAAAATATTACACCTCGACTTTTTGTCTCACTACTGAAATTAGTGGGTGCTCAGCAAAAGCTGCAGAAAATGCATGGGCAACAGTTTAGGTAGATATATAAATTAATGTGAACCGGTCAACGTTTAGAGTAGAGGATGGTAACTGAACAAATATTTTTTAATGCGTGACTGGACCAAACCAAAGCGGATCAAAAAAACAAAAATGCCGCACCCGAACCGAAGCGATGAACAGTTCGACATCTTTGTTCTGATTGAACTACCGTTGGTTCCAGCTGTCCGCTAGACTACCCTCCAATTCTAAAAAGTTAACAAATAAGAATACACGGGTTTAGGCTTCAATGCAATGCCGCATAAACTTGTTCCCGGTGGTACTTAGTCGGTATCCTGAAAGGCGGAAAACGGTTTGATTTCAAACTTGTAGGATTGCATATTATAAGCTGTTTTTATCATATTTTTTGGTGTTACAAGCTTATTACCCCTAAACGTTTTATGTAAATTTTTGTAAAAAATTACCACTCATTTTATTTTTCAGTTACAACGGTTCAGTTAAAAAAAACATATACGGGGGGGACCCATAAGTAACCAGAATGAATTTCTGGGAGACGGGCAGATCGTATTACCACCTACCACCGCTGACAGTCTTTGCAACACCCCTTCCGACTAAGTTTCCGACTGACGTCGTTTGACGAAGTTCTTGCGGCATGTTTGTGTTCCAACTTTATTGTGCAAGTGACGTTCAGTCCGGCGCCAAGAGGGGGCATGATGGCCTTCGTCACTTGGGGCTCTTAAGTGTTGTCTGGTCGTGAGTGATTGGGGCAGGCTGGAAGGGGAAAAATAGGGACGCCGAGGGAATGAGCCACTTTACCAGTGTCACGGAGCGCTCATGATGGGTGGGAGGAGAGGCTGGAGCGGTAGTTCAAGAGGACGTTAGGGGTATTTGGAAAGTCACCGCAGAGGGGACCATTGGGGTGCCCAAGGAGTAATCTTTAACAGGGAAGCAGGTGGGTAAAAGGGGAAGAGGTTTAGCTTTGCGACATAAGGTACCTTCTAACCTAGATAAGGATGAAAGGATTCTGACACTCGCGCAAGTAATTCAGGGCTTCACGTCGCTCAGGCAGTTCTGAAATTAGATCCTCCTGCGGGTCATTCCAACTCACTCCATCACAAGGGTGTCGTTGTAATGTGTAACAGGCCGTGGAGTGGGCTGCCTCATTCCCATGAACGCCTGAGTGATTTGGAACCCACTGGAGGATCACCTCTTGAGGGTAGGATTGCTGGTCAAAAACACAAAAATGTTGAAAAAAAGGCATGTTGTAGCTTTTTTTCACCAGAGGACTTCAAATTCATTCTCTGTCTTTTGCAATATCTGATTAGAAAACCTTTAAGATCCACAAAATGTTTTACAGTTCCAGACTTTTTTTAAACGGGTGAACAGAAAAAAGTCAACCGCGGCTAGGTCCGGTAAACAAGCCGGGGGGGGGGGGGGGGGGGGCGGAGTATTTCAAGCCATTTTTGTTCAAAAATTGTTGCAGTGTCAGGGCAGTGTTTTTTCTGAGTATTGTCGTGTTGGAACCCCACTCAAACCTTTGCCAGAAATGGGGGAATTTATGCTTCTGAGAGTTGCGCATGCGTCGCAAATCTCCCTGGTAAAACACCTGATTAACAGTTTTACATGCAGGAACAAACTCGCAGCGAACCATTCTTGAAGTCTCTTGGGAACTAGGTTGGCCGTCGATCAATAGTTCAACTCCCTTGAAGCGAGGAAACCACTCGTAGAGCTGAGATTTCTTTATAGCTTTTCCCTTGTATGCTGTCTGAAACGTATCAAAAGTTTTCGCCACCGTCTTCACTAAAACAAAACAGTATTTTACGGCCACATACTGTTCCTTCAAATCAGATATTGCAAAAACACGAGTAATGATTTTGAGGCGCCTGGAGAAAAAGTTCACAACATGCCGCTACAACTTTAGCAGACGACACCTGTAGGCAAAGTGTCTCGAAATCGGTGCAATTAGGCGTTCCTAGGGGCGGAAGTAGGGACTACGAATGGCGCGACCTTCAGATATTTATGCCGGTCACTTTTACGTCCCCCCTCATATGCCATACAAAAACTAAAAGGTCTTTCTTAGTGAATGCAGCTGAAAAATCGGCGAACCACATCCAGCCGACTAAAACTCGCGGACATGAATTGCGAACAAATTCGCTCGTGGTTGCGTTTAAATAAATGCCATTCGAAGTTCTTATGTTCAAGATGTGCAAAACGGATTCGTAAGAGCGCTTTTCCATTCAAGCTAAATATCAAGAAACTTACTGTGGTTATCCTAACTAGAGACGTTGCGCTCACCCAAATGTATTCATATTTCTTGATTTCAGGTCCATCAGCACGCCGGTGAGTACCCCAAACTCTTACCTTTTACATCTAGCTTTGAGTTCAAAATAAAACGAAAATTACCCCTTTCATGTCCATTTTACCGAGGAGGAACATTCCAAACTATATTTTTTTTTTATATCAGGAGGTCGCTTTCAAACAGAAATGCCCATTGTATCTCTAAAGCAACTTATGGTGTTTCACCCACAGCAACGTAGATTGCGACGTGCGTCTCCTTATAAACATACACAACGTTTTGCTTGGGTTCACTGTTATATGTATTTAAAGGCGCCAACAATGTGGACATGATTACAAATATACCGCCCTGCATTGTTCGTGTATAAAAATTGGTCTGAAGGTTATCTCGAAATAAAAGGACAATGGCGCATTAGCATAGATAGTAATATTTTATGTCTGGCTAACTCCCACGTGGATTATGAACTGTTGTTGCTCTGAAGCAACATTGGTAATTCTCGTCACTGCTTCTTCGGAAGATTAGGCTCGAGACTTAACCGTGTTTTTCTATTATGATACACAGTGTGCACATTCAAAACATATATATGCTATTTGTACATTCGTGATGATTTAGTAAAACATTTGTGAATGACAGGTTGTTAGCGTGCTTACACATCTTTGAGTAGCTTCATATCTTTCTGAATTACTTGTTTGTTTTAATTCTTTTTAAGCCGCCGCCTTTCGTGGCAAAAAATTAAGTTTCACGCTTTCATGGTTTTTTCACCGCCTGGAGGGAGAATACGAAACAAAATCGAAGACTTGATAAAAAAATTCAGAACTAATTTTTTTTTGTCTGACGGGAATGTGTATTGCGGAAAATGCAGCATGGCATGCTTGCCTAGTTGGCAACAAGAGCTGCTATAACATTCTGTAATAAATAATAAAAATAAAAAAAATTCCCCAGGTACAACATATCAAAATGGGACAACCAGCAATATAAATTAATATTGTTCTGGAAAAAAAAAATTTTTCTCATATTCGTGAACCAAACCTGGTGTATTTATCTGTATTTTTATGACGACAGATTGACACGGAAGGGTTAACAGAAACTCAAGATCAAACAGATGTTGAGCACTTTATATTAGATATCTCTTATTTCATTCTGCAGCACACACAACTGACGTTTCATACGCCAAATTAATTTAAATTGTTTGAAAGCATTCTTGTTGACATTGCATTTAGGAATTAATGTTTCAGATACTTCGCTGCCTTTTCCTGCAGCCATATATTTTATATTTTTACTGATTTCTTATCTTGGAGCGGTTAAGTATATATAATAGTTATATCGTATTGCATAATTTTAAATTCACAAACAGTGAGAATATTTCAAATAGAAGAAGCTTTGTTTCAGCCTAGGGGACCGTTAGATTTTGCTAACAAAAGACAAAGCGAAACACCATGGCATTAGAGGTGCGCAAAATTCAATACAGCAATACAAAATGAATAAGAGATGTGGATGACAGAGCTGTTCCTTGACATGCGCTTCAATTTGTGAGTTCTGAATGGTCAAAAAAAGATACGTCAGGCAGTTCCGTTTGAGTGTGACTGAGCGCGTTACGACTTCCTAAGACTGCTTACGACCCTGGCCTACTACCGTTTTGCGTATGCTTTCAAATTGTGTACGCATCCTTTCTCTACCCTTAGTTTAAAATGATTGTGTCAGTGTTATAGGTGACCATTTCACATAAATAATGCACAGACTGGACTTGGAAAATAGTTAAAAACTTTAGGTCCTCTTCAAGACCGGAAACGTTAAAGTGATTTTTTGTACGCCGATGCCACCGCGTTCGAAGTCCACGCAACGTATGGTTGTAAAATGCAAAGTGTGGTAGTGGCAGCTCCGCACATTCAGACGCATATGTCTGATTTAGGCTTATGTGTCAATGAACATATTTCAACAGGTCTGAGCTACAACGTTAATATTTCATAAAGAATTGATTCAAATTGTTAAAATATGTTTAGCATGGCGATGTACGAAGAAAAAAATGATACCGATGAGTTTTTATTATCTTTGGGCGGTGCCTGTAATTATGTACCAAATAATGCCGGCGAGCTGGATATCTAATGACATATTGGTTTGGAAAGAGTGTAGATTAATTTAGACTGTTTATTTACAGCATCACGAAACCTTGTGTAACAGTTGCTTCCCTTAACAGCAGGAAAAATAGATACCTTTGATCTCGAAAAGGAGGTGGAGAGGTCCGTACAACGCCGGGCCAAGGAATTGAATATGGAACTAGTCTGGTGGGACGTTCATGGGAATCATGACGAGATCAAGAGGCTTCACTTCCAAGGACCACCGTGAGTCATTAAAATATATTGTCGAATGTTTCTGTATCAGATTGGTTTTGTCTTGTTGATTTGTTTCCAGGCTAGGTTGTTTCTCGACTTATTTTATGCATGATTAAAACATTAATTTTCTTAGGGCCGTAGTAGAAGTCAGATTGGGTCATGTTTTGCATGACTATGTTGTTTCGACTGACAATCTTCAACGAACAAGAGTACGGGGCTTTTTGTTCGAAGTGGTTAGGGAATTTCTGTTTTTAAAAGTACGTTTCTCATTAGGGTATTTAAGTGTCGTCGCACGGAGGCGTATGTGCAAAGATATTGTTGATACATTGATGCCAATACCAGTGTACCGTTCTATATTCTGGGATGATCCAAGGAAAGATTTCCTCAAAACTCAAGAGGATGCCGGTAAGGCCATCTCTAAAGACGTTCGCTTGTCAGTTACATAGTGGCACGCTCCCCTTAAAGCCTTGACTTCAAGAGAAAGGCCTTTTTCTGCCATGGTCGGTGAACTGCCTGTTATGTTGAGAACCTGAAACTGTAGAGTATATGTTCCTAGAGTGTTTGGATGCTGTTTTTCTGTGGGATATTCTGCAACGTACTTTGAAAAAGGACCTGTCGATAACAGCGTGTGGTATTCGTTTCCTCCCCGTAGAAAGCAAAAATGGTACCTTACCACATGTTAATGCTTTTGGGCCTTCACAGTCCATGGAGAAACAAGATAGCTCTTCGACATGCGGATGTGAACCCTCGTAGGGCAAGGGAATATATCATTGAAAGCGTAATTCTTATTAAGGAGGTTTATGGGACGCTCACCGAACAACTTAAATGTGCTCCGACGTTCGTAATGTTTGGTATGGCATGCAGTTTCCACGACGTCAGTTGTTCCGCCACTGCCGGAGTGGTTCCAACCTCGTAATAATTTCCACGTGTCTTTCGAAAGGGGTCTTTTCTAGGCTCCCAGAAAGACCTAAAAACGAACTGCACCACGCCGTATAAGCCGATCTTCCGCCTGCGCTCGGTGCTGCTGTTACGCCGCCATGGATGGCTGTAATCGTCCGTTCAATCTTATTTTGTTAGGGCACAGGTTCGCCCTATTAAACCTTTAGTTTGTTTCAATGTTTCGTCGCATCATCAATTGTCATTCGATACAATAGACATATTCTGGATACCATAATATATGTGTTGTCGTCGCTAATGCTTAATAATCTCCTGGGTCCATTTGCTCGATGCCTGTTAACTTTAACCGCGTCAAAAACTTAACCGCCCTTCCCTACCAGCTACTACCTACTAGGTCACGTCACCTACTGGTTGTGGCGAATATAAGTGGCTTTCGTGAAAATCTTTATGGAAAGGGGGGATCAGGGTACTCGCGCTGCCGGGATTTCGCGACGCAGCGCGGAATACATTTGAGCTTGAGAAAAGCTTTCTGTTGCTCGGGCTACAAATAATGGGTAAGGTAAACCAAAACACGCTCATGTTTGGCAAATATTCAATGTTTGGCAGTTGGAAGTTGGGACAAGTCTCGTTGAGATGTCCTCCTCAGTGCGAAGAGGTCGACGAAATTCACTGCTACAAAAAATGTAGAAGTGAGCAGCGAAGGGCGGGCGGCACACCGACAGTAGGCATGGCTGTCCAGCATGTAAGAGCTGCACATAAGGTCTTCTTCGTAAAATGAAAATCGTGTACTTCGGCTCCTTTGGAATTAGGCACACAGTCTGCTTCTGCGTGTCATCAATGTCCGGCCGATCGAGTCGAGACAATCCACTAGGATCCTGATTCCGTTGCCATATCGACAATTTCCGCGTTCCTTTAGGCTTAAGAATGGTAAGAATCGAAAGACGATACAAAAATGGTGCGAGATCATTGCTTACACTTTGCGATTTAAGAGATGCAAGGCAAAGCGAAAGCCTCCTGAACCATTCATTGCTTACAAACGTGCCCTCTAGTGCAGTGACTACGACATATTAGTTCCAAAGCGAGCGACTCTCGCTGGGAGGTGAACCGCCAAGTTTTCCCGCCATTCCTTCTCTGCTAGTGGCGTGACCTAAAGCTTTCTGCCTCGGCTAAAAGTTCACAAGCTTCCAGCAAACGAGCCCTGGTTTTTACTTTGGTATTCGCGATTGACTTCGTAGCTGTGCAGAAAGGTCAAAAGGGTCGGCCGCGTGTGCGGCTTAAGGTATCTGACGCTTCTTAAACGGACACGAAATGAAGCATAAATGCTACCGCATTTCGTCGGGAGTCAGCGTAGCGACACCTGCGATTTAGGCATCTTATTGTGGGCTCTACTTAAATCGTAGAATTGTCTGATTTGAGACATTTTTGGCAGCGGACAGATGCTTGTTTGTTTTTAAATACCGAAGTACAATGCTATAAAGTATGTCACTAAAGCATCTGTACTTTGTATTGTAATATATAAGAAAGAAACAGAAAGATGGTCGATGACAAAACAAAACAAAAATCTCGAGGAGCCGGTAAAATTCCTCTGAAATATTAAACTGTACATGCACCACGTTACACAGCTATGGAAAATGTGAGAATGATGCAATTATAAGGTTTTCTCGAAAATTGCGCTGAAGAACACAAAGATTTACTGCACAACATGGTGCCCCAGACAACAACTTTTCACCGTTCAAATAAGTTTAATGTAAGCGCCCGCCGTCAAGATAGCAGTGGGAGAGGGGAATATGGGAATTGTGGCGAAGATGATTTTCACCCTGTTTGAAAAACATATTGCATATTGGTCTTAAGCCCACGTTACTAAATTTTGTTTTCTTGTATTTTCGATAGAAGTGATCAAACACACATACACGGATTCGAATGAAGAAAAGGGTATTTGCTCAGGTTGGCTTTACTGCAAAGATGCTGTATGGCAGGGGGGTCGTAAGCTGTGGGAGGTGAAGGGGCGGTGGAAGGTGTCGGTTAAGAGGGATACAGAGAGAGGCTTGTATGGAAGTACCCCCTTCAGGGAAAAATGTCTGCCCTACACCTTTGCTGCTACAAATAAACCGACAAAATTCGTACAGTACACGTAGGGGCATACTGCTTGTGTTTATATATGGCTTATGTGGAAGTACCCCTTCAGGAAAAAATGTCTGCCCTACACCTTTGCTGCTACAAATAAACCGACAAAATTCGTACAGTACACGTAGGGGCATACTGTTTGTGTTTATATATGGCTTATATGGAAGTACCCACTTCAGGGAAAAATGTCTGTCCTACACCTTTGATGTTACAAATAAACCGACAAAATTCGTACAGTACACGTAGGGGCATACTGTTTGTGTTTATATATGGCTTATATGGAAGCACCCCCTTCAGGAAAAAATGTCTGCCCTACACCTTTGCTGCTACAAATAAACCGACAAAATTCGTACAGTACACGTAGGGGCATACTGCTTGTGTTTATATATGGCTTATGTGGAAGTACCCCCTTCAGGAAAAAATGTCTGCCCTACACCTTTGCTGCTACAAATAAACCAACAAAATTCGTTAAGTACACGTAGGGGCATACTGTTTGTCTTGAGTTCATTTTTATTCATTTGAGACGGAGTAATTAAGGTATTGTAATCGCAGTTGAGGCTTTCACAAACATCAGGTATGTCTGCGAAATAAATAATTTTATATATATTTAAACAATGCCTTTCGTCTTACAATCCGTAAGGACTTGAGTAACGGTTAAGAGTTGAGCTTGTTGGTACATACTTGTAGTTATATCAGCTTGAACTTTAAAAATATCTAGATATTTCTAAAGTCCAAGCTGATATAACTACACGTAAGGACTTTCATAGCATATTTCAAGTTTGGACTACGAATATAACAATAAAGATCTTCCTTGTGTAATATTCAGTGTCTAGCCTAATAACTGGACGATGACCTTCCACGCACGCTAAAAATATTTCAAGTTCCACGACCCAAAGTTATGTCCAATTTCACAGCAGGTATTTTGATGCTTTGGGAATTAATTGGGTGGTAGCCTAAAGCTGAAAGAAGTTAGTATCTGAATCTGGCATTTCTTCTTGTGAATGAACGGCTTGACAAAATGTTGACGCACATTGAGCCACAACTTACCACACGCGAGGCAGGATAGATCAGCTGAAAAGCCTCAGTTGTTTGCTCTTGTTTAATGGCAGCAGCTAATTTCATTACAGCATATGGACAGAATACGACTTTTAGTTTGTCTTATGAAAAAACAGTGAGTGCGCATGCGAGCTGGTGGATGTTGATCATGATGTAGAATACCCGAGGCTGTGGTAAAAGCTGGGAAACATGGTCGACCAAGTTTTCCAGCTTTTACCACAGTCTCGGGTATTCTACATCATGATTAGACCGTCTTACTTTCGTTTCAGCTCTAACTGTCTGAATTTTTTGTTATTCGCGGGTAAACATCTTCGTGGAATCGTGCCTTGTGCGCCGCCAGGAATTTCCTCCTTTAAGTTTAGGAAACATCACCTGGTCACAAACGTGTGCTCAACTTACTTGCACAGACGCAGAAGGTTTTCAGCAAAGATGTGCTATGATATTCTGGCGACAGCTGGTTTGTATTGCTCATCGTAGCAGCGCTGTTAGGGTAGAAGACTGACCTCAGCAGATACAAGTTGAGGAGCTTTTCGCAGACCGAAACCGTTCATTTGGATTTAGTTGCTCGTTATCTCGAATCGTAAATGCTCGAACAAAAGAGCGAAAGAGAGCCATTAATATAGCTGTGCACCAGCAACTTCAAATGTAAAGTGAACGAGCTGAGGATGGGAATGATAGCTGCGACATCAAGACTGCCGGTTTTAGATCTCGTCTTATGTTTTGTAGATTCTGTTCAGATCAAGTCGGTGCACTCTTCGGGGAACCAAAGTTGGACATGTAGATAAGAAAGGCTAAAAACACAGGCGAGCTGGCGAAGAACTTGCATATTAATCAGCCACGCGGAACGATTAAAAAAACGGACAAAACCACAAGTCTCAAATGCAGGATGTAGTTTATTTGAACGACGAACGCTTTTATCTATAAGGCAAGACCCTCATCACATAAAAAAGAAACCCCTCCACGCCACTAGGTCACCGTAAGCCGGACACTCAGTGAGATCCGAATGATACATGTTTCCCCTTCTCTTACATCAACTACCCACACTGACGACTTCATTTGAGCCTGACCAGCCACATGCGATAACTGGCAACTGAAGCACAACCCTTAGTGTTCTTGGAGAACCCACAAAACAAGACCATAAAGGCTCAAAAACGCTTCATAACACTATCCCATGCCAAGGACGGTGTACTTACACAGTTGCCAGAAGTCGAAATAGGCATAGTCTCCCGCAGAAATCTCCTACCATTTTCTTTCTCTTTGTGCAAAACCTGGGTTTCCCCCCGCTTAGCCTGAGTCATTACAGCCTACAACATGCAGATAAGTACAGACGATGTGATAGATACAGAAATATTAAAGATACCAATGGAGATAAGAAAACATTATGCAGCCCGACTTAAGAGTTTTAAACTGAATACCCTCCCCCCCCCCCCCCCCCACCAAAAAAAAAAAAGATGTGAAACGGTCGTAACGGCGAGGCGTTCCTTTCCAATGGGGGCGCATCGGCATTCCCCTTTGTCTTCCCACTCCTTCCGCGCCACATTCCGTCGCCCCTTCACCCCGCAAACATTTCCGAGCCGCCCACCTTTATATGTTAAGGAAATGGGCTGCTGCAGGAAAGAAAACTTGCGAAACAGCGCTGATATAAATTATGGCGTAAATAATGAATGAGGATAAAGTAGTAGTAGTCTATTATGACTCCCAAGATTTAAGGGTGTATGGTTTTTAGTAAGAACATTTTTTGACAAATCCTAAGATACTGAGCTCCTACATTCGGTGTCAGCTGAAGAGTTCAGGGCGTGGGAAAGGAAGGCTGGGGAGGAGGAACAGATGGAATGTTAGAGAGAGGGGGTTGTCTCGTCCCCTTCTCTCGAGCAATCCATCTGCTTCCTCCTCCCCAGATTTCCTTTCCCTCGCACTGAACTCTCAACCTGCCACCAACTGGAGTATATGTTACCAAAAGGTCATATACGAAAGCATACCTGCAAACTCTCCTGAATTGTGCGGGAGCCTCCCAAATTTTGATCTCATCTCCTGATTGTACGGGCGCGACCTCAAATCTCCCGAAAAGTATCCGCCGTAGTTTTTTCTTTTTTTTTGTAACGCCTTATTGCTATAATCACCACGCGTGTGTCATTGCGAGTTACTGGAGAGTAGGTTTAGGTTACCCCGGCGGGTTACCACGTGACAACTCAGAGCAGTAGCATAAAACGAGGGTAGATTTTCCAACGCCAAGGTACGACACGTCTACTCCTGAAGTTAGAGCGCATTTTGGAACACTGCTTATATGACCATGGGTGCGCTAGGCTTCAGTTGGCTTTGTCAGTTTCGTCGAGTGAGGTGCGGAACGCCGAACTGCTCTTCGTGTTTCCCCGAGTTTAGTTGGAACCACTGATATGTTAAAACGATCGATGACACTTTCAAAAGCCAAGGAGGAGTACTTGCAAGCATTTCTGAGATCATACGTGACTGAGTTTCCCTGCTTTGTCGCTTCACGTAAGGCTGGATTCTGTGGATTCAATGGATTCGTATGGATTCTGTACCTGATCTGTGAGCGTTTCGCACGGCGGCAAGCTTGACATCAAGATGCACATCGGTTCACGAAAGCATCAGAACCATGCTCGTGCCGTAGAAGGGCAGGGCACCACCGGCCGTTTACTCCAAAACAACCGCGAAGACAGTGCGATTCGCGCAGGGTGCCTCTTCACAGGGTGTCTTGTCGAACTACAAAAAAAATAATAATGCTTCAAACCCCCCCCCCCCCCCCCCCCGCGCGGCTGTCTCCCGAATTTTTATGTTGCTAGGTTGGCCGGTATGGCCAGAGTCAATTTAAATTGAATTAAAATCTGTAGGCCATGCGTTATACATTTCAAACCAAAATGATAGTGGGTGTTTAAGTTTTTATCTATTTATGACAACCGAAAGCACGGGGTGCAAATATCACGCAGTCAAAATGTAGGGTTTCACCTTGCTCCACTTGAGAAGTGTTTTTATGCAAAGGCTTTTGTTCTGAAAGGTTTTTTGTTCACTATGTTTGCGAGGATATAACACACACACACACACACACACACACATATATATATATATACATACATATATATATATATATATATATATATATATAATGGCGAAAAAAGTCAAACAAGAAAAAAGAAAGTGCCGAAAAAAAGTGGTATTAGTTTGCAAGAATAATCAAGGCTAGTCACAAGAACGCTAGTTACGCGGAGAAAAAAACTTAAAAAAGGACGGGATCAAAGTCAATGTTAAACACAAGAACTTACGAAAATCAACTGTTAAATGGAAAATAGATGAAATAATTAAAAATAAAAAAATAAAAATGAAAAAGGGGCCTGACGTCCGTCGACGTTTCGACAGTGGCACTGTGTTCTTTATATATATATATATATATGAATATATATAATAGCAAAAATCTAAATATCCACGCCGAGAAGGTTGTTCAATTTCATATGAAACCGCCCTGGTAATAATTGCAAAACAGTAAGCCTGCATCTTTCCAAACACCTTGAACCCATATCTCTTGTCGCGTTGAACGTTGCCAGTAAGACAAACAAGTTAACAAGCCCTTCTCCATCAACAGGGTGACTGCGACAGCGGGACCTGTGGTGTATGGTGCACCCAAGAGCTCAGCAATGCGACCAAACGTGGTCTATACTCAGTGGGTCCACAATGGACAGGCGAATTCGTCCCAGACGACCACCATAGCAAGATCGACCCAGCACAAGAAGACAGCCACCTGGCACGTTGAAAGTGGTTTCAGTTATTCCGGCTCCGTGACAGCCAGTGCCAGTTTATTTTTTGTCAACATTAAGGCTACACTCCAAATAGGCTTAGACTTGAAAGGGGGATACCGTGAAGAAGTTTCTGATACGGAGACGTTCTCGGTAAATCATGTCGTCACCGTGCCTCCCATGAAGTCCGTCAAGATTGACTGGATCATCACAGATTCCGTGCAGGTATGTTACGCCCGGATGAATTTCGTTGTTGAAATGGCCATCACAGGCATCAGGATTTGCTTGAGCGATGCAGTTGATTTCGAAGTTCGGGTATGTTGACCTAGGTAGTATATCAATGAGCCTAATACCCGTGCCACGCGAGCAACTCGAATGCCATTTACAACGAATGACATTCGTGTGATTTAACGAATCGGCTCGCGATCTCTCACGCGTGGAACGACCCACGCTAGGAGTGTTGCGCGCTGATTGGCCGATCGTTCAAATGTCATTCGTTGTAAATGGCATCCTAGTTGCCCGTGTGGCACGCGTATAACCACTCATTCGCACTGGAAGCGGATCCACGTTCGCAAAGCGGTTGCGAACGTGGGTGTATAAAGATCCAGTACAATTGCACGCGCACCTGATGTCATCGAGTGTGCGTGCAATTGTACTGGATCTTTATACAACCCCGTTCGCAACCGCTTTGCGAACGCGGATTCGCTTCCAATGTGAATGAGCGGTGAGTGAACCGTAGGTTCTTAGGACGAGGGAGATTGTTTTTTTCTTTGTTTTAAGTAATAGCACAGTGAATGGCTGTGGCAGAGCATACAGACTAAAAATACAAGGTCACGACGTATTCACTTCGCTTCAATATTGTAGATGATGGTAAAACAGATAAATAAATTACAAACGCCGTGACCTTGTGTTTTTGGAGCTGTTCGTTCATACTCCGTTTCACATTACGCCCGACCGGAGCCAGTGCTAGAATCCCACCGTAGCCAATTCAGCAGTTCTAAAAGTGCATGGACATGGAGCTTGTTGCATTTGTGAGCAACTACTCATTCACTGTGCGTGATTGTTCGACTTAATGATTATTCGATTGATTGGCCAATCGTGAATGTCATTTGACGTCAATGGTACATTTTTCGTGGCTCACGGCTTTATTCTCCAACTTACGAGGAGCGCAAGTTCGTCTGCTTCTTTTGTCGGGGTTGTGGTGACGTCAGAACGCCGAGCTCTGATTGGTTCTGAATGAAAGATGGTGTGTAGACCTCAAGGCAGCTTACTTTGAATTCTGCGCACTATTGTTCAATAAAAGCCAATCAGAGCTCGGCGTCTTTCTCACGTCACCGGAACTCCTACGCAGAAAGCAGACGACTTGCTCTCCGCATTATTGCTGCAAAGTTGTTTTTTTTTACTTCCTGGAATAACTAGAAAAAAAAACATTGATATTGCAATGCCTTTAGATTGTTGGCCATCTATAAGTCAAAAGATTATTTCTAGCGATTAGTGAATTAACTTTTTGTGTTGGTATTCTTTTTTCACACAGGAAGTTCCTTGGACGTCTACCGTGACCTTAACCGGGTATATCCGTACGAAGTGGAAGGCAGACCTCAACTTTCTCTACTACGACTACCGTTATTGCACTCTCGGCTGTCTACGAGATTCCCGTCTTAAGCACGCAGGAAACGGCACGTTCCTATACACTTCTAATGGAACGTTTACGGGAGTCAAAGGACACGAGGCGCATCTTCTCATCACGGAGTACGATTATCAGGCGTACGGAGGAAGGTTTCGGCGGTCAGGGCATCGAACATTCCTTAGAGCCAGACGCCGCATACGCCTGCGTCGAAGACTTTGTGATACTTGAAATCTTCTACATCGGACGAAAATAAATATTCTTATGTTGGATTTTTTTTTATATTGTAGTGTCAATGTTGAGAGTGACCTCTTTGTGTTCATTGAGGGAAAAGAGAAGTATAAAATTATTTTCATACACTCACGTTTGATTTGATAAAAAAAAAAAAGATAAATCATGAGGGTAAAAGTTTTTTCGTCTTAATTTCTCACTAATTTAAAACTTCCGGGAAAATTTCTTTGAAACTATATTTAGAGAATCAGTGAGTTAATCGTAGTCGCAATCAGAATCTTCATTGGCTCAAGAGAGCCGTGGCACCGCGGAAAGGCCCGTACCAGAGAGGCCCGCGGTGCGACGTCCAGTGATGATGGTTATGAGATGATATATACAAAGGGAGGACGACGCGGTCTTCTCAACATCGCAAGCGTCTTTGCATGAAGGTTAGGGGTTCGCCAAGACACTTTTACTAGGGTTGAGAAGTGTCTTGGCAAGGGATGGTGTCCGGAGGCTTCACCGTGCGTTGGGGCGAGGAAAGCCCTGGCCATTTGATGGTGACGAGGACGACGTGCTCTTCTGATCCGCCGCACGAGTCTTGCAAGTTAGATGGCGGTCCAGGCCAGTAGGCCAGCGAGCCAAGGTGGCCTTCGCGAGGCTATTCAATGAACGTACTGGATTGTAAAGCCCTGGCGGTTGATGGTGCGCTCGCTCGCTTCGTTGAAGGCAGCGGCTCCGGGTGGTGGCCCTGTCGAAGTAGACGGCTGCCACTCCCCGATGGATTGACATCCAGGGCTAGAAGGTAGTGCCGCAGTCATCCGGTGTAGCTTCCTCGAATCGTCGTCGTCGTCGTCCCTTAATATAAATAAAATACTTAACAAAACAAACAATATGCGGACTCCGCTTCGTAATAAAAACATCGCTTATTCGACAGCAGGTAGGGCGAAAGGGTGGTTCTCATTAGAACCCGTTCGCATTTATACCTTTCCCTTTTCCCTTATACTTTTTCCCTTTCTCACTTAAACCGCTCTGAAAACAAACTTTCGGGTTTTGACCCTTCTCAAAACTACTTTTTTTTCATTTTAATCTTTCTGCTTTCAAATTTTCTCAAAACATACTTTCTGCTATTGACCATACTCAAAAAGACTTTCCTCATTTTAACCTTTCTCGTCTCAAAATTACAAAAAAACGTACTTTCTGGTTTCGACCATTCTCAAAAAGACTTTTTTTATTTTAACCGTGTACTTGATCAGGCTAGGGAAAAGCAATAATTTTAGCATACACTCCCGAGAAACCGAAATGAAGGAACCAATGTCATTATGAAGACAAGGCACCTGAAGATTTATTGCTCCTTGAAATGCTTCTTGGAGAATGACATCTAGAGGTCATTTCAATCCACGGCATGACGGACTGCACATAGGCAAACATACAATGATCGTAGATCCGTACCACCACTCCGACACCGGTTGTAGATAATTCGATATCCTCACAGGGCATGCCAGATGAGCATAATTTGCATCCGATGATTCACGACTGAAATGAAAAAAAAAATCTGTGCCTGGTAAGAAAGCCCTCAAGCCACGCAACATTCGCAACCGCACATTTCGAAAAACGCGCCGCAGCTCCGAACGCCTGTCTGCACCCCAACGCGTCAAGGCGTGCAACCCCATAGCAATGAACAGCCCCCAGCGTAGACGTGCTCATCTCGAAGAGTATGCATATAGTACTCGCATTTTGGACGTGACCGCATGCCCTGAACCCGAATTAACCCAAAATCATGATCTCGCAATCATTCCGTGGTACTTATGGCGAATGCCGGGGGTCAATTGCCGGCGAGCCCTTACCGGTGGCACCGGCGACCAAAAACGCGCCAGCGGCACACCACGTGACCCTCTCCACCCGAATACAAAGCACCGTGAACTGGCGTTTTTATTTGGCTTGGTCGCGAGTGAGCTCTGTTAACTTCTTCCTGGATCATTTTATGGTACACTCTAAAAAAAAAGGTGTCAAGGGAGAGTAAGTGCCCTAACTTACTCTCCTTTAACTCTATCTGCATGGAAGTTACTCTTTCCCGACCGCTACTTTCGATGATACTCTCCCTTAACCCTCCCTCGACCTCGAGAGTAACTGTAACGAGAGTTAGTTTCTCCTCGCGATATCACGGGCTGTCGATAGATGGCGCCGCTATGGGTTCGGCGCAAGTTCGACGCTGTTCGGCGCAGGTATTTTTTTCGTTTTCTCGGGGAAACCTTTTTTTCATATCCGCTTTTCCTTTTTTTCTTCTTCTTTTTTTTTGGGGGGGGGGGAGATGGGCAAGGATGTTTTAATAAATGAGTTGGCACAGCCTGCCTTGACGGGTTTATATTTCAGTATTTATTAACTTAATTATTACCTGCGGCTGGAAGATCATTGGAGCGGGGGACACTCCTTTATCCAAGCAATAGGCACTTAATGTTTTTGCTACACAGATATATTAAACAATAAACATATAGATCAGTGTGTAAACGGGTGTATGAGCGGATGCTGACGCGCGTGTGCGATTATGTTCCGTTACATAAGTGCCTAGGGTTGTTATGTAGCCCAGGGATGTTTTTGGGGCATTGTTATATTTTTGGGGGGTCGTTTCAAGTTACTGCTGAGCCCGACCTCACTGATCGTAGGAACAGGTATATGTATAAAAAAAGTATTTTTTCCACATTCGCATTAAAAGCAAGCAAAGAGGAAAACCTCCCTCCGTGACAGAAGAGGTCGGCTTCGCGCAGACTATTGCATACGCCACGTGACGACCATTTCATAAAGCGTCGCCCTAAACACGGCGTTCGTTTCGAAGCCATGTATAGGTTCAAAAAACCTATACATGGCGGCAAGCCAGGTTTATGGTACGTGACACTAGGGGCTCCCTTATTTTCACCGCCGTGGAGAAAATAAACGACGGAGCCAGAGCGTTTGGAAAAGTTGTTAGCGATGATTTCCAAACTTGTTATGCGGTCTTCGTTTTGAGTCATTAAATAAACTTGGCTTGACTACTACCTTTTTTTTTCAATATTTACATTTTACTTTCCGAAGCGCGGGAGTCGATCAGTCTTCTGCTCTGTTCAAGAAAAGCTCTGGGGGGTTAAACCTTTAACTCTGCACAGTTTGCTACATCCTTAACTCCTTTAACCTCGCTCTCCGAAGCTCCCTTGACAGGAAGGTTTACGATATAAGGGAACATTCAAGATCGCTGCTTTTTTCCGCTGTTCATCAAACAGTTCCTAATGTACAGCGGAAGCACCGTGTAGCATTCCGGATATCGATATTTGTGGTACGGATCTCACTGGCTTTAAATATAGATACATTAGTGTGTATTACAGAAGTCTTATTTCGCTGTCCAACAGAGCCACATTTAAACTGCCATTGACGAGTTCACCTTACGTTCAGTTGATTCTACACAGCAAGCGATACCTCAATTATTTTGGGAAGAACGTAGATTGCTCTATGTCGCCCTACGATATGTTAAAAAGTATGCTAAGCTTCTTATGTTCAATGTCCCCGAGGTACGAAACACGGACGACAGAAGCTCAGTTAAAATGAATGAGCGAAAATGGCTATAGGTTCTGTAACTAGCGGTTGCTTCCTCCATCTAGCATGGCCTTTGAAAAAGCCTGTGTCTAGAGTGCCGTGGTACTCTTGCCAAGCGTTCAAGTGCCCACGTCCGATGGCACTCTAAGCACGCATTGGAGTGCCGTCCAAATGCCGTAAATGGGCTGTACAGAAGACGTGGGTCATCGCGTCCCGAGAAGCTTAGCCTGCCGCATCCGTGAGCTAAAAAAATCCGATTCACGAAAAATTTTTTACCATCGAAGTGCTTCGGAAGTGAGGGAAGTGTCGCAAGCGGAAGTTTGGAGGACCCAGAGGAAGTTAGAGAGTAAATAAATTTAGAGGAATTTAGAAGATAAATAAATCTGTCTTTTAGACACAGCCAAATTTACTTATAAGCTTGGTCTTGGCACCAATCCAGCCAGCTGAAAGTCATGATGTGGAAAGATTGTGAACTTTAATTTGGTCTCCTGTGTTTGTTAGCTACCGAATCGACAACAAACCAGCACCGACCAACCAGCTCTTTTACGACGCAAATATTTTCACGAAAAAACTTCAGAAAAAGTTCGAAAAAACAAATAAACAAACAAAAAAGATAGTGTGGAATGGGCACGCTGCGGACACTAAAGTTCGTTAATATTTTTTTTTTTTTGTATGGAGCATTAGTGCAAGCTGGGTGCAAGGTGCGCAAGGAACGAGCGAGCCGCCCGTTGAGTCCGGATTCCCTGGGTTACCGCCTTCGGAAGCACACGCTGTGCGCAGTTGCCACACAAAGCCTTTAGTCATGGATCGGGGACTTTATCCCCCGTAAGCTGACGGCGCGGTGGAAACTACGTGCTTGTTAGACCGTTTGACTGTCAGTCTCACACCACGTGATCACCCCTTCTCCGCATACGCACGCGAGGCGAGCGAAATCAAGCGATAGGAGTCAGGCCACTGAATGGTTGGCTAACGCTTAGCTTCACCGCATTGTCAACTTAGAGATGAACGAAAGAAGAGCTCACCTCTACAATCAATTTCCGGCCTGCCATCGCCTGACATCACTTTGTGCGCGCGAAACCTCCAACCTTGAAAGCAACAAGATCGTTTTGCCCACGAGCAAGCTTCCCGGAACTTTAGAACGGATGCCTTGCGAACGATGAAGCCTAGGAAAAGTAGCGCTGCCATAATTTTTTTTTTTTTAAGAGGGGGCGCACCTCAGAGCCCCATAGAGGATACATGAGGTTTTTCACCAAATTAAAAACATTCTCACATAATAACGGCTGCGCGGATCTTCTTGAAAATTTCGGCTTTAAAGACATTGATTCATTATCGAGACACTAAGCGCAACAAATGTTTCATCATAAATTTAATTATATTCTTTAAAAAATCATGAAAATGGTCAAAATCGGCTAATTCGGCACTCTTGCGTTCGGAGCGAATTTACAAAATTATATAAATTCAAACATAAGAAGTATTGCGCTTAATGTCTTCTAAATTT